GACTACAAATAAATCTCGACAATGAACTATATCGACTCCTTTCCTATCCTTTCCTCCTATCCTTTTTATAATTCGAGAAAAAATAATGACCCCCCCGACATTAGGTTTATTTTTTCTTACAAACATCTTTCTTTTATATCATCATCATCTAATTTTTTATGTGAAAAGTTGTTAAGCGAGCAGACGGTACACTTGATGTGTGGTATACGTGTACCCCGAATACCTTACTCACCAAACGAAACGCGAAAGTATTGTACTTCCTCTCTATTCTCCTATGAGACCGTGGTACTTTACCGGGCGATGCCCATTCGTGAAATAGCCAAGGCTAGCCTGGCCATAGGTTCGCTTATTAGGAATACGAAATTCACATATGAACTAGTGCACATAACATGTAAGATTTCTGCATTATTTTTTAGCTGAAGTTGTGGATCGTAAAAAAATAAGATAGTTTGTTTTTAGTTAAATGAAACTGTGTATTTTATATTATTTATCTATGTATGTTATAGTTATATCTATATATTATTCAGTATTTATCGCGTTTTAATCTGATTTTAAATTCCCGAATTTCTTCTTTTCCCTTTCCCTTTCCAGCGGTCATATACAGTCAGACAGATTTTTACAGAGATTTATTTTTAATTATATAAGAGAACATTTTGCAGTTATATTTTTTTTGGCGCGTTTGGAAAAAAATATGAGAGGAAAATTTCTACGATATGCGTGCACACCGATAGCAAAAAGCAATCTTTTTTAAACGAAACAAAACTTATCTACTATTCGGGATGATTCCGTGGCGTAGTTACCCAGGTATAGGCTTCACTGCAGGGGGTCGTGGGTTTGATTCCCTCACGGGACAAGTATTTGTGCGACCCACAGATAATTGATTCTGATCTGGGTATTTGTCCGCGCGAAATTTATGTATATGAAACTTCCTCACAACACAGGATAATTTATCCTACAGTTTAGGCAATGTTTTGTTTTTTAAAATATAATATATTCGTATAGCAATACGATATAGGAGGAAAAACCAACATATGTAGCGCGCATTAAGTATTCGTTCCAGACGATATTTCACGATCCAACCGGTCCGAGGCGGTCCAAGATCGAACACGGTCGGACCGTACGTAATTTCGGCCATTAGATAAAGTAACGTGAACTATCGGCATCGCCGCTGCCGTGCGGAGGGCGATCGGTCAAGTAAAGCCGTCACGTAGCGGTGCAGCCGAACCGGCGATATTAATATTCGATGCCGCCGATAGGGCTGCGAAGTTTGCGCGGGAAACACGGCCGCCATGTTTGTTTAGGACTTGGTACTCTCAGCTGTGCGTCTACAAGGAGCGCTGTGTAATCGCAAAAGTATTCGATCGCAACATTGTTTGAAGTCGGCTCCGCGATAGCGATGTTTCGCCGTCGGGCCCCGGCGAGCTTACTCGCGCGGAGTAAACGAAAATCGTGAATAAACAACGACGGTATTTATGTACGATATTGTATAACTCTTCAACGATAGGGGCGTCTTGAAGGGATTAGTTAATGGACTTTAATGTGCAAGTGCGTTTAACAATTACGACTTCATCGCCATTCACTATCAGGTGAGATGGCGTTGTTTGAAATCAGAGATATATTACTTCGGTTTATCTTTATTCAGACGAGTTCATCTTAGCCTTTCTGTAATGGTATAAAATTGATGAGTTTTTGTTTTGCGAGAAGGTGGCAGGCGAGCTGACGGTTCACCTGATCTTAAGTGATGACCGCAGCTCATTGACATTTGCTACAACCTTGGGGTTGCAGATGCATTGCCACCTTCTAATAAAGTGGGCCCCGGCTACATCAACCAGACGAAAAGCAGAAGTATAACACATCCACTTCTTACTTGACTTACGCTAACTGACCTGCCCATTCGTGCAACAGAAGACTTGCATGGCCCTAATGTAGTAACATCAGTAAACGCAGATAAACATTATGTTTTACTAGCTGCTGCCCGCGACTACGCCTGCGTAGAACAGGCTGAAGACGTGACATTCAGATAGACAGATATATATAAAATATGCAAATAAATTATAGCCTATGTCTTATTCTGATGTATAAGCCATATTATTGTAAAGTTTCATTAAAATCCATTCAGTAGTATTTGCGTGAAAGAGTAACAAACATCCATCTATACATACAAACTTTCGCCTTTATAATATTAGTGAGGATTAGTTTACGAGTAACCACTGACTACCATAATGTACAGGTACGGTATGGTGTACGAGTTTTTTTTCTGGTACGAACGCCTGGTATTTCAAACCTTTAGCTTAATCGGCAGCCACCAACCCTATCGCAGCCAATATCGCAGCCCGCTATTTATTTACGCCACTATTACGGGTTAAGTATGGGTTACGTGAAATTTAATACGGCGGCTCCAAGCGGGCGGATCGATTTTTCATTTTTGACGTAATAAAATATTATTTTTCAATTTGATGAGGACCAATTAACTTAATAGTCCTTAATAGCGCCGTTGATTTCAAGTAATGGAGGTATCTGTAAACAATATCGGGCCGAAATTTTATGAATGGTTTATTATAGTTTGATATATAGTGAGTAAATTGGATGGAATGTTATTAAATGTTATACAGTTCTGCTTAAAGTGTATTCCAAGATTAGGCCTTAATTGCAATGACTGTTGTATTGCTCGTATGATTTCAGTAGACCTTGCCTCGTGTTGAAAATACACCAAGGACATATTACACTTGAATCACCAAGATCCGAAACCAATATCTGAGAGCATGCATTCGAAATGTGTCATAAAACTAATGTATAAGGTTACTAATGCCTTTCGTAAAGTCAAACAAAAATATACTATGTAGAAGCAACATAAAATTAGCAGTAAATATTGGAACGAACCCAAGACATCCATCGATAAGGAGAGGAGACACCCACGCCGCGATCAACACAGATCGTAACCAACACAAGAATTAGCATACAAATAGTTGAACATAAATCGTGTTGGAGCACTCCCCGCGTGAACACTGGTACACGTATCACTTCCACTTTAATGTATGCGATTTTTTATGGGCAATGGGTGAATATCGCGCCGAATATCCGTCTGGAGGAGGGTGAGGTGTGGGGCGCTAAAACATTGCAGTTAGCGGCGTAACTTGTTAAATTTTTACTTAATACTCAATGGTATATACCTTCTTCTTCTTCTTCTACCTGGCATTAATCCTGGCTATTGCCAGGGTCTGCCTTATATACCATACAGAATAATTTCCCTGGCAATAGTAGTAAATAGTTCAGACGCTGAGTACACTCGAGACCTTTTCTTGACGTCCTTTCTGTTAAAGGCCTAGGTCGTCCCCAGTCACTAACTGAACTATTTATCTTGAAGAGTCAACAAGTAATCAGAGGCAATGAGTTGAAATTTGTTTTTCGGCACTTTACGTAATGTGTAAACTGCCGATAAATAGAACTGTGAACTATTAATTTCGACTGTGAATAGATATAAAGTTTACACACTATAACCTTAGATACTAAAAGAATTGCAGTCATGCCCCATAAGGTACATTAATTCATGTTGATTGCTTCTCAGTGTGGATCTGGATAAATCATATGTTTTATATATGTTTTTTTATTGGAGTTAAACTTCCTCTTTACGCCGGTCATTTGTGAGGTTGCGATACTTACCATAACGAACTTGCCCATTCGCTGTTGCGTGGCCCTACCTAATTTTTTATTACATAACCATTTTTTTTTCTAACGAAAAACTGACTTCGGATATCTCGCTCTGTATTCATTTTATAATTGATTCTCGGGAGTTCCCTAAGCGACATCAGAACCCAAGATCCAATACCAATGAAATTAAAATGGTACCACATGGGAATCACCAGCTTTCAAATAAGGAACTTCAGAATCGTTTCACTCAGTCGAAAGTTCTGAGGTAACAAACATAAAAAAATACAGTCCAATTGAGAACCTCCTCCTTTTGAAGTCGGTTAAAAAGCCATTGATGCAATGACGTTATTATAAAAAGTGTTCTATATACGCACAGCATATTCGCGCACATTAACAATAAAGTAATGTACTTTCAATAGTAATCTTGCAAAACGTGTTTCTATTCGACACGAGAAAACAGGCAATCAATCGAAAGACATTACTTTCGAACCCAGCAATATCTAAATGCTGAATTTCCAGGAACTCACTTCGGGAATGCCAATCAACCAAGATCTAAAGCAAGTAATACAATATACGTTTAATTCGACGCACACATCCACCGCTGCGGTTTAATGCCCTTTGCCCATGCGAACTGAGACTGGAAACAAAGTCTCAACAACTTTGCTTCAGCTCTTTCTAGCGTCGCTCCCCTAATTTGATGCGATGCACTTAGCTAATTATGAATCCGCCTGCGATGCTACACGTTTCCTCGGCGTTTCTATATGTTTTCTCATATGTTATGTGTTACAATTGCCCTTGCTTTGTCTTCGTGGCTAGAGTGAGTATTACGGAGCTAGTAGGAATCTAAGACCATATCACAGTCAATTACCTTCTTCTTTCATTATCTTCTAATAGTTTAAAAAATTTTAAAATGTGTTCCTTAGCGCTTACCTTGTTCATTTACTTTACCGCCTCAAGATTAGCTGGTAGATAATGCTGATGGCGTTAAGTCTACCTTTCTGCAATATTTCTTGTTGTGTTCAAAAAGTGCGTGATTTATGGGCAACTCAATTATTTTACGCGCGATCATTCATAACTAACACGCACACAAGTTCGTTTTAAAAGTATACGACGCATTTATGAATGACTACCGCAGTGTCGACAAGGAATAAAATGGCAATTATTTTGAAAAAGAAACGTTTGTTTTTGCAACGTCTTGTCATAATTTTATAATTACCATGGTGGAGGGTAGATTAAGTTACTATTTAATAAACCAGTCTGTTGTTTACACACGCCTTTGATTGACGTTCCATTGGCGACGAGGATGGGATTTTTACATTTTTACGCATACGAACTTATATAAATTGTACAAAATGCCGATAGGAAAAATAGAACCATTTAATTTAAGCTCGAAACAGTATACGCTGCGGCCAGACGTGGCGGCCGCAGTGCGCTCTAAGCAAGAGCAGCAGGTAGTACGCACCGCCGGTGCTAATAGGGAGTTTCGCGTGGGGGATGCGGTACTCGCACGTGACTACAGAACGAAGGGAAGCAAGTGGGCTGAAGCCATAGTTGTTAAGAAGACGGGACCGGTCTCTTATAAAGTTGACTTAGGAAATGGTGTAGAGTGGCGTAGACATGTTGACCAAGTTATTCCAACTAAGAATCGATTCTCACTGTCACGTACGAGTGCCGCGCCTCCGGCGGACAGCAGTGGTTTAAAATCGGATACGACAGAGGTCGATAATGGGGCCGAAGATGAAGTATTTGAGGACGCTTCAAATAGGGATGAGACCTTGAATGAACCCTTGGAAGCGGTGGAACAGCCACAGGCACAGTCCGGGATCTCTCCAGCGCCTGTGCCTGAGTCGCCTTCACCACATACATCAGCTCGAGCACTGCGTGCTCTAAAACGAGCTAAACGCAATATTTAAAATTTAGAGTAAGATTTTTATGAAATATAATTATTATAGTGATTGTAAGCTAAGTGAGGAGAGAATGTAACGTCTTGTAATAATTTTGATTGACGTTCCAGTTTTTATTTCAATAAACGATTATACTACCGAGTCTGCCTCCTGTGTGAAATTGGGCACCTTTAGAAAAGCCACCCTGTTATCTCAATCCTTATCGGTCGAGACATTTTCTTCACGCCGTTTTCTGAGCGGTTATGGGACGCTCCCGGTTACACTGACCTATTCTTATCGTTGTATATTGTGGTTGGTGTCGACAAGTAATTCTTCTTCTTTACGTGTCGATGACAAATCATATCTTTCCAGCCCAGAACTTAGCCACTTGGACAGCACAATTTGTGGCATCCATCAGATCCTGCTGCGAACAGGTGAAAGGGCAGGCAGGACAGGACATCAGATGGGATATGGAGTGTACTTCTCCGCACATACAGTCCAGGTCTGAGTTTTCTGAGAATCCCCACCTGAACATATTTTCCTTACTTCGGCCAACCTGAGTCCGAAGTCTGTTTAAAGACTTCCAAGTTGGCCAAGGTAGTCGGAAGACTCTCAGAAAGCGGGACAAAGGGATCCGAAAGCAGAGTTTGAGCACGCCACATGCTGCATCTCGATTTAGAGGGCTCGGTTGTGAGGGGCTCGCCATATTTAAAAACAAGTATTTAGAGAACATGAGTTTAAATCCGTTTTGAATACTAATGCGTATGAAAACTATTTCCAAAACAGGTCCTGCTAAAATTTCAATCTGCTCTTAGATACAAAGTGTGAGGTAAGTGGGTGGTTTTATGCATGCACTGTTAGGACATGTTTATTTTTATTTTATTTTATTTATTGGATTACTAACGTAAGATACAGCCAATTCAGATAAATACAAATTATTTGTTACATAGTACAATAGGTAACTGTTCTCACATTTATAAGTAACCACATCATGCGTTTTATCCTGCTACTGTAATGAACACTATAAAAAATTATGTAAGTTAAAATAAGACAAAGGTCAATCACGATAGTAACGATAAAGGTAAGTCAACATTTTTAATTTTTGCAATAAAAGTAGCGATGCTATCGAAGTGGATGTCAATATCTGAATTCTTCTCGTTAGAAATAGATGTTGCGCTGTAAATATAAAGTGAGAATTCCCGTTCAATGAACTGTGGCAGGGCCACAAAACAGTCTTCGCTGTTGCGACTGGGCTGGTGCGACCTCACAGGAGACCGGCCTGAAGTGGAAGCTTTGTAGTAGGTGAGTGAGGTAGCCTGGGCTCACTTTATTAAACCGCGGGCAACGCATCTGCAAACCTACGGGTGTTGTACAAATGTCCAAGGGCGGCTGTCACTTAACATCAGGTGAACCACCACCTAGCTTACCACTTGCTCACATAAAAAAAATACTGAGAAAAAACCGAGTCGGAATTTCTTTGGACTGTCTTTAAAGACATACGAGATAAATTTTGTCTCCTCAACTCTGCTAAAATAATCTATGTACCCATCGAGTTAAACACCACGCCGTTAATTGCGGGTGTTTCACAATGATGAAACAACGCCCTTGCAAATGTCCACACGTGCGCATCGTCATGAGCGAGATAGATTGCGGGTTTTGTGCGCGTTACATTTGCGATAATGCATTTGCTTCGGCAATATGTACGCGCGCGCCCGGCGTGTGCAAACAACCGCCGAGGCTGAATTAATCATTCGCGCAATATCCGAAAGCGATGCGGGCCACGCAACCCGTTTACGTAACGCCTGACAAATGCCTGTTAGTATCAAACTTGCAGAGCGGCCCGCAATATTGCCAATTAGCTCTGGATGGACCGAATTTCAGTCCGCACACTATTAAAGTTTGCGGATGAAAGTAAGTTAGAGTTAAAGTTGAACGCAGAACCCGTGGTATAGCCTGGTCGCACTTTCTATGAAGTTTATGAAGTCTACGGACAGGGAACAAAAACCATCAGTTAAAGTAAAGTAGGGAGTTAATTTTTTTAAGTGCACTGCACCTAATTATACATACGATTGTTCCACTCCACCAAGGGTCTAAAACCGATCGTGATCGCTGTTAAAAATTTGATTTCAACATAATATACTAAAAGAGACCTTATTGGACTAAGAACCTAGAGTTGGAATTTTAACTCTTCCGTGAAAGAAAGAGAAAAATTGTTTTTGAGAGTAAAATTTTTAAGACACTTGCGCACACCGCAAAAGCGACATGATGACACATATATTTTTTTTAATTTATCACAGTAAAACTCCTAAATGTCTACATAACAAAAAAACGGTTGAATAACAGAGGAGAAAAAGTACCGAACTCTCTAATTTTTCATATAAATGTAATAATATACGTGTTACGTAGTATCGGATTAACTCGAAATGGCCATTTTGTTTCTAGAGCAACACATGGCATTTTGATACTCAGAAAAGGCAATTTGAAAATCAGTGCTTCGGTCGCAAACTTTTAGTATTCCATAACTTTATTTATAACCCTTACTATAACCACAATAGTAGAACCGTACTCCAAATACTAGTGGATAATTTTTATTAAATCTGATCTGTGAGCATTTTAGGGCCCCATCTGGATGCGTTTTCTCGTCACCGTATGAAATGAATATTTAAGTATATACGAGTACATAGGGGCGTAATCAAAACACTGTAGCAAAAATGTAGATCACAAAACATTCATAACAATAGAACGTTATACGGTAATAACAATTGACGTAAATTTTTAAACCAGCACGATCACATAGAGATTCGAAAATTACTTCCACTCGACTCCGTGGCGCAGTTGCCAAGGATTGACTTCGGCGTCGGGGGTCGTGGGTTCGATTCCCATACGGGACAACTATATGTGTGACATACAGACAATTGTTTCGCATCTGGGTGTTTGGCAACGTGAAATACATGTTTGTAAAACGTCCTTACAGCACAGGATAATGATATCCAAATATAATAATAAAAACTTTGCGTTGTGTTCAGTTTTATAGTACAAGCCAGTGAAGAGTGTAAGTTTTTTTTACGGTATAGTTCAACAGCCTCTTTCTAGTAGTTTCTTAACGATCTACCCCTAGCTAGCACCTGAAGAATATCATTAACAGCTCAGTTTGCAAAAGCCTTGGAGAGTTTTTTTTTCTTTCGAGTGTAATGTTTTGTTGTTGAAGAGAAGTGAGCAAGTTGAAGGTCGAATGAAGTTGCTTATGTTTGATTATTTGGCAACTTAATGAACATAGCTGAACAGACTGATGCGAAATATGGTCGAATAAATAGCATGCGAAATATGATGATAGTATAAAAGAAATACGTAGTGGATTAATACACATCATGTTACAGTTAAGATGAAATTTACAATTTGTGTAAAAACTGGCGACAAGTGCGAGTCGGAGTGGCGCTCTTTAAAAGGGGCAAAAACATCATGTGTATTTTATGGGAGCCCCTCTTTACAAATGTTTTTTATTCTGTTTTTTAATATTTTTTTGTTAAAGCGGCAACAGAAATACATTATATATTATCACGGTTCATGAGATACAGATTGGTGACTGACGGACAGACAGACAGACAGCGGCGTCTTAGTGATAGGGCCCCGCTTTACCCTTTGGGTACGGAACCCTTGTCTAGCCCTGTCTTTGTTTACTAATAATGATAATTATTACCGGGCCAAGAACGACGCAATCTACTACTAAGCCGTTAAAAGCTTGCAGGCAGATCACGTAATGAACCTTTTTTGCTATCCATTTCTTCACTCCCAAGTAGGAGGCACTAGATTTATTCTTGCCGCTGTTACGAGCCCCAGCGCCCAATTAGTCCTAAGCGGCGACCCCGTTACCCTCTCTAGACGGCGTTCTTCGAAACTCGCTCGAGCGGTTTACCCGCCTTAATTTTATCGCTGTCAACAAATAAAAGCGCGCGAATCTGAATAAAAAAGGATACGAATCGAACTTTTACGCTTTTAAACGCGCAAATGGCTTGTCGGCCGTAGTGAAATATGTCCCGCCTCGGCATATTTATGGGGGCTGTTTTGTTTTAACTTTATTGGCTCTTAAAATCATCATGGTATGCGTAAACAGAAGTGTAAAAGAATACCGCGATTTTCTCGTATTGAAATATTGTTAAATGCAAAACAAAAAAACGGCCAAGTGCGAGTCGGACTCGCGCACAACCTTCCGTGTGTGAGTCCGACGTACCGTCTATAAAACGGCAAAAAAAGATAATGTGTGTTGTATGGGAGACCCACTTAAATATTTTTATATCCTGTTTTTTAGTTATAGCAGCAACTGAAAATTTCAACCATCTGCCTATCACAGTTTATGGCCCAGCCTGGTGACAGACTGACAGCGGAGTCTTAATAATAGAGACGCTTTGAGTACGGAACCCTAAAAAAAGTCGGAACTTAAATATCTCACTCGCTTTAAATGTTCTACTTGATTTTGAGGATTTTTTTGATGTATCTCCAAAGTCCTAGGTCTCATACCATTGATATTAATATGGGACCACATGGGCGATAAACCTAACCCTGCGCAAAAATATTTTTTAAAATGGGTTAATAAAAGTCGGTCTTCTACACAACATCTACATTCTAACGTGCAACCGAATTGAGAACCTCGTTTCTGTAAGTCGGCTTTTTTATGTGAGAAAGTGGCAAGTGCGGTGGCGGTTTATTTGATGTTAAATGATAACCGCCACCCGTGGACATTTGAAACACTCGTAGGATTGCAGATGCGATGCCACCTTTTAATAAAGTGGGCCCTGGCTAACTCTCACAAGATGAAACGCAGAAATTTAACCCTTCCACTTCACGCCGATCTTCTGTGAGGTCGTGGCTCTTCCCCGAACGGACCTGCCTATTCGTACAAAAGTGGAGACTGGTACCTGGTCGTACCACAATTCATTGAAGTCTTTTAAAAATTCTAACATCATTGGCGGCCCGTTCGATTAAAGAATCTAAACTCCCTCTGTTTCGTGAACAACAAATCAATTTCACGT